AAGAGGAGATGGCCACAATACCAAGTATTGGAAGAATATTAAAATCCAACAGGAAAAATAATAACTGTTGCTTTTGTATTTGTAGGAAATAAAGATGACCAAATAAATTTAACAGCTGTGGTGGTGGTTATGGCATATATCTCAAACTACCCTTCCATCAGGCATCCTTCCATTCCATACAGTAATCAGCTTCATTTTCAATGGGTTTGTGCTCAGAAAACTACACAAATATTATAAGTGAGAGCGAGACACACTTAATTTACGGTGATAGATGTCCCTCTAGAAAATGCGATAAATATGCGTTCTGTGTGAATGGCTTGGTTTCAGTTTTGACGTAAACAAGATCTTCTCCGCATTGATGTTCTCTTTTCCCGCAATATTTGTAATTAACAATGCAGCAGCGCCGCATCTAGTGGCTTCAACTGGATAGGCTAACAAAAACATTATAATGCAACGACACTTACATCGTCATCGCATCTTGTGCGCCACTGATAAGGCTGCCTCCTTAACGCACACCTAAAATTCGAATGCAACGTTTTTGCATTCAAATGTGGATTTTTATTTTAAATTCGACGCATGTTCGAAATTCGAATTATTTTTTGACAGCCCTATAAACTACTATTGTGCATTATTTTCCTGTAGGTGTTTGTGCACAGCTAAATGTATTTGAGTTCATCAACATATTTTAATCTAAAATTAATCATGGCCAATTGTCACTCCATTGTGCTTTTATCCATTTTCTTGTTTCTGAGAATTATTAATACATTCTTCAGGGGCTATTAATACATTTTCAGGTGAACACAATATTGTTTAGACTATACATGGTTCGTAACCACAGATAGCATCATGTTGCCATACGGCACCTACCCATATTGCAAATTAATGCTTTTTATGACATGCCTGCCTAGAATACTCGAGTACTCTTAATGAGTAGTTAATCACAGCATTTTGTGGACTGTTTTGGGGTTTCTTTAAACAAATAGTTCACCCAAAATGTTTTAATCACCTTTACGTTTTTTGAAACCCCTATGTTTTTCTTGCTTACTGTATGTTAAGCAATATAAGTTATTTTCGTGCAGGCTCAGTGTGCCTACTTACATTTTTGCTTAACTCCACAAACGCACCAATTCATGTAATTCATTGCAGTTTCCAGCTGACATGAACACTAGTGGCAGTAAAATACAACTTTTAATCCTTTTTAATCCACACAAATTATGATTACAGGGTTAGATTATTATTTGCAAAGTACTTATTTTCACATGGTTCCTTGCCCAGCGCTATGTTATGATCTCAGAACACTTTTATCATAGTGCATGATTTGTAAACAAATACACTTTGATGTTTGCATCGCATAACCAGCTCCATATGTATGGCTTTTCTGTTGTAGTAAACTTGCTCTGTTGTGCACCTGGTATAGCACTGCACTTGTGATGTGAAGCGCTTGCTTGGGTACAAGTCCCTTGAAATGAGTCATGATAAAAGATCTCAAAGACTTCAGCAAATGAATTTATATCTCATATTTGCTTTTGTTAACACATTTGTTTAGGTTTAGAGTAGGGTTTAGTATTTTCAAGTGCAATAGAGCCTTTACCTTTTAGCGCCACTCACCAGACATTTAATTTCCAAACTGCCACAATACATACATACATACGTAAAACGTTGCCAGATTCACGTTTATTTGTTTTAGACAAAACCAAAAGCACTTTTAGTGTCTCTCACTAGATGTTTCACTTTGAACGTGTTGCAAAACATGCAAGAAACAACTTAATATAATTTTTCAAAATTTTCTTTCGTTTGTCCAATGAACCTGAGATGGACAAAATACTATAAAAGTGTCCCGTATCCATTGTGAGCTATACAGAAGTTCTGTGTGAGGAACAGAATGAAATTGAAACTATGATATTCACAAAAAAATATGTGATCAGATATTATTGGTTCAGTGAGCGATCGTCATTGACATCAAAAGTGGTGCAAAAATGTTGATGCACCATTTATGAATGTATATGAACACAGCTGAGATTGATAGCAGAAAAAAATATTTTGGGATGTACCATTCCTGTAATTAGCAAATCTTGTAGAAATACTTTTCTTAACAACAGCACATTTTCTTTCTTTTTTTTCTTTTCTTGTTTTACAATGCGCTCTGCTAAACTCTCTAATCTAAGCAGGACAATTACCAAAGCGTTAAGCATTGTTGTGATTATGTATTTTTCTAACCTTTAGCCTGCAAGTTAGCATGTTGATAAAGTATCCATGTCTCAGCTAGAAATGACGGCCCATTTCTCTGTAAACCTTCATCACCCACTGATTTAATTAGTGTTTCCTGCATCCTATTCAGCGCACATCTCAAAGAAACGGAGAAGATGCCCATTTACAAGAACAGCTGTGTCTTTACAAAGCCCTCCTGCGGTCCTCATTAAAACATCCCCACTGTCGCTAACAGCTAGTTAGCATTGCCTGGGATTTACACCCAGTCCCTATCAAACAGGCCTAAATTACTGTTATTCCCCACTTTAAAAAAGACCGATCTTATTTTAGCACCTTTTTACTTGATTCCGATGCAAAATTACAGTGATTTAAGTGGATATTTTAAGTATGTCAAAATGAAGAGGCTGTTAGTTGTACGCTATGCACCCTAGGCAATAAATGTAGTTTTTAAAAATCGTTTTAAACGTTAAAGAATAGCAGAGTTCACACCACAACTATAACGATTAACGATATCGTAGGAATCACTTTTAGTATGATTTTTTTTTCGAGCTGATGAACTCTAAAAACATTGACAGCCAATCAGAATCCATCTCACTTTAAATAGCTTGAGCATTTATAGTACCCGGCGACATAATTCCAGTGCATGCTTATATAAAAAACAAAGCAATATGGTGCCTTGGTGTGGATGCTAACAGTTATTAGGCGCGTTTCCATTACAGATTTGCGCAAAACTTTGGTGATATTTTATAAATGTCGATAAAAAAGTATTGCGGAATGACGGCGTTTCCATTAACCAATGTTATGCAACTAAAATGTAATCTTTTGCCTCTCGCGATAAGTCATGGCAATGGATTTTGGTGGGATTTTAACGGATTTTGGCTATATTTATTCAAAGGAGGCGTATGCGTGTATCTTTACAGAAGCAGCACAGAGAGCCGCTTCAGAAACGTGTGTGGCGCGGCTGGAATAAACACAAGCATTGACTAGAGTGGCCGCAATCAGCTTCGGTGGCCGTATCAGAGCCAGACTATGGAGGTTATAGTACATTGAAGAATGATCATATTACTTTTTACATACGCCATGTGACCTGTAAATGCGGAAAAAAACGTTTCCATTGCAGTTTTGCGAATTATTCCTTTTTCGCATTGCCTGAAAAACCACCTCATGTGAGCGTAAAAACTTTTTTGCGATATATGGGCGTTTTTGCGAAATTGGCGCGTTTCCATTAGGCATATTTTCAATTTGCAATATCAATTTGTGCAATTTGAAGGGTAATGGAAACGCGCCTAGTGTTATCATTCCTGTGAGTAGGCCTTTATTCAGTAGAAGCCATATTGAATTTTACATTTGTGCATTCAATGCACACATTTACATTTCATCAGTTCTATGTGGATTCATGCAAATTCAAACAAGTCCGAGGAATAGACTTACAGTCTTTACAATGGCATGCACTGTATAAAGGTCCTATCACATAATCTTCACAACTCTCAGTAATGTTTTATGGAGTTTTTGTCTACTAGAAGTCTTTTGTAAGGATGTTTTATCAGCTGAACAACTGGCATGTTGTTAAACAACAGTACAATCCATTGAGCTCATGTACTTCTGTCCCTCACAGACTCGTTTTCATTCCCCTCAAAAATTAAATATGGCGCCACCCCGCATGAGGTCTGTAGCATGTCGGTTTCCCAAAAGTATTTAATGTCAACTAAAGTGTGAACAAAATAGCAATATTTATAACATAAAAGTGATGTCAAAGCCAAACAGTAGCGTTTAACCTCAAAACCCACACTTCAGATAAACTAAGCCTGGATTATTTACAGCCTTATCATTCTGCCACTGCTTTTATAGCCCTCACACACACACACACACACACACACACAGTCGTATTTGCAACATCAGGAGTCTTTATCAGAGTCTTTCATCCACATACCGAATTTGTTCTTCATGTCTGATAGCTTCATCCTCCTAATAGCCCAGGTAGCTACTGCTGTAGGAGAGAGCTAATATTTCACGCTGAGCAGGAGCCCAGACAACGGGTCCATTTACTGGCAGATAGAGAGAGAAAAAGCGAAAGAGGGAGCGATAAGGGAGGAGGGGGGGGATCTGGACTGCAGGCGGACTGCGGCAGGAGGGGTGTGACGTGATCGAGAGAGAGAGAGAAAGAGAGAGAGATGGCAAGATACAACCCTCAGGCTGAGTCTTTGTAGCAGAGAAGCAGCAGAGATGCTCGCATTCCAAACAGGAAGCGCTTTGTGCCAGAAGTGGATGTAGTTTTTCATCAGTCGGCTGTGTTTGGAGGAGTGATGAGTGTGTCATTCTGAGTCAGGGCTACGAAGGATCGATGAGTCAGTGTGACACTTGTTCGTGACCCAGCATGTGTGACGGGACAGTGAGTTTGAGGACTGCAGAGAGTACGTGTGTGTTTACTCCCAGAGAGCAATGCTTTCATAATGCATCTGTTTAGTTGAACTGCTTCATTTAACAGGATGATATTGGGTTTTTGAACATTGTCATTGTGTGTCATATCAGAAATATGACTTCAGAGTTAGGTCAGCTTTCGATAACTTGTGTGAATGAGTAAGACTTCCTCGGGTTAACAGAATTGAAAACTGCTGATTGGCCGAGGGCTTCCCTGCCCTGCGAGAAAACTTCCTGTTTCCTCCAAGTGGACTTTGTGTTTCATTGGGAAAGCACGCCAAAGGATGCAAGTGTAATCCAGGAAAAAACACATCCTATTGTTTCTTAGGATCGCACACGGATCCGTAGCCCGCACTTCTCAACGGCAGTACGAAGAAACGTACTGTACAGTGAAGCCGTAAGGTAAGAGATGTTACACTGACATATTATTTGAATTGCAGTTATTGAATGTGTGAGAATGATTGCCACTGTGGTATGGGAAGATGATGACAGTTCCTTGAAGAAGGCGACTCTCTCAGGACAGAGTGAATGTTTGAAAGATTCACATCAGGTGGTTGTGTGGTTTTTCATTGCAGTGATGCCTGATGCTGTGAAACCGGTGGATGTGTTTGGCAGAGTCTGTACTCTACTTGACTGTGTCATTATATCCTATATGCTAAAATACTGAAGTTATAAAACAATGACATCAGAATCTGACCGATTATGTGCTTTTGTATAGTGACTTTGTAGCGAAGTGTGAAACCGGTGGATGTGTTTGGCAGAGTCTGTACTCTACTTGACTGTGTCATTATATCCTATATGCTAAAATACTGAAGTTATAAAACAATGACATCAGAATCTGACCGATTATGTGCTTTTGTATAGTGACTTTGTAGTGAAGTACACACAAATATTTGAGGCTTAATTAGGTTGAGATCCTGATGCCTTCTTTTGAATAACTCAGCAGGCTTGTCTTTATAGTTTGAGGGTTTGGTTCATAAATGCCTTTTTGAATTTCACTGGTTTCATGGTCACAGCAAGCAATAATACATAGTATGGTCGTCACAAACCATGTTTATCTGCATCTAAACCTGTATTAATGTAGTCCAGAACTGGGTCGTATCTTCTTTTGAGTAGTTTTGTTCAGATTTTTCGAGGTTGAGGGCATGTCATGTTGGTATTTGTCTAATTTGGCGAATTTCTTCCAAGTGACGGATAAGTTTGTGCCAAAAACATTGTAGATTTTGATTGGACACACAGCCTTTATAATATAACAACTGTTATATTATATTATATTATATTATATTATAAAAACTGATTAATCAGCCAATGTTGTTTTAAAAAAATCTATTTTATAAATGAAAACTTCATTAACAATAATGAGTTAACCATGAAAATGTTTTGTGATTATTTTATTGATATATTATAGAAATAGTTTACAATAAAAGGAGAGAAAAGGGGTAGAAATGGAATCAAATCAAGTGGTTTATGTATTTTTTAAATGCCATATATTATATTATATTATATTATATATTTTTCTCAAGTATTGTTGTGATGATTAGATTAAATGTACAAATTCTTCACAAAAGGGAAAAGCTACAGATTGAGTACAATCATTTCCAATTGCAGACTGATATCCTGACAGTGAGATGCTGTAACATCTGTTTGTATAAGCCATTGATTTTTTTGAAGTATAAATATTTGTATCCATCCTTTTTAAATTAATATGCTCTGTCACACATGCTGTTTGCATTAAGCATATGACATTGTGGCAACATCAAATACAGAGTGAGGTTAATTGATGAGTGACAGGGTCAAATGCTGCTCTGATGTGGCAGAAGAGCTTCAGACCAACTGATGCGGACATGCGGGAAAGACTCGACCCTTTTTAACCTTTTATCATTACACGCACAACTACCCACAATAGTCAGCACTAGACTGACACAGTCAGAGCTGTGTCAGTCGGAGTCTCTTCAGATGTGCTGAACTGAAGTGAATTGAGTGTAAGGGAGAGGGACCTCTGACCGGTGTCCATTGTGTTTGCCTTCATGAGTCACACTGTCACTCAACAAGTAAAAACACACTGGTTTGTGATTAACCGGCTCATTGTCTACCGTGTTACTCACACTTCATCTAACTGGTCAAACAACATGCCGTTTTAAGGAAGTAGGAGGAACATTCCGAACATTTGTTAGCCACGATGAAAGTTAAAAGTCTTAAATGTGGCAGCTGACTAATGAGCAACAATCACAGCTAATTTGTTTTAGAAAATGTTATTTGGGTAAATTGAGATTTTCAAATGCATAAAATAAAACAAATGTAAAACATACATATTAGCTACCATCATACATGAAATAAAATAAAACAGACATACTGTTTAAGCTCACATCATACATTACAAACAAAAATAAAATAAAACGTATATATTAGCTACCATCACACAAAAAGCATACATATTAGTTATCATAATACATAAAATAAAACAAAAATTAAATAAAGCAGACATTTTAGCTACCATAATACACAACATTAGCAAAAAATAAAAATAAAATAAAACATACCTATTTGCTACTATCATACATGAAACAAAAATAAAATAAAACGTAGATATAAGCTACCGTCATACATAAAATAAAAAATAAAACATACACATAAGCTAACATCATGCATTAAATGAAACAAAACATACTTAATAGCTAAAATCATACATAAAATACAACAAATATAAAGCTTTAGCTACCATACATAAAATAAAAAAAACTAAAAAACATACTTATTATCTACCTTAATACATAAAATAAAACAAAACAAAACAAATATTAGTTAACGTAATGCATGATTTAAATTAAATTAAATTAAGTTGGTATTTTGGTGGAAATTGTTACCATGGTGAATTTTTCAGTGTATTTACCACAAATAGCTGCCTAACTATCACTTTCATTCGCAACAAAGCCATGTTATTTATCCTGTTTTGTTTTTATGCCATCCAGAGGGAACGAGGACCCACTTGAAATGCAAATTTCATTTGATAATAGGGTTTGTGGACTTGCAGTGCTTTCAGATAAGTGCTGAAGACTCACTGTTTGGTGGTCACACTCATAGTCTTTTATGGAACATACGGACATAAAACAAGAGTGTCATGTTTGGATATTAATGGGAAAATGAAACCGTTCTGTTTTGTGCCACTTCTTATGCCAAGCAGTAGGTGGCAGACTTTACACAGATTCAGACTGAGCTGAAAACCTGTCCGTCTCTCCTTTTGTAATCAGTGCAGGGCATGACAGAATGGAGCAGATAGCAGATGAACTTTCTCATGTGGTCTCTCAGAGTAAATAAGGGTCAGCCTTGAATGTTGTTTGCCTGACAGCCTCCATGTCAACAGTCCAATCAGTGAAACCGTTCTGTTTTGTGCCACTTCTTATGCCAAGCAGTAGGTGGCAGACTTTACACAGATTCAGACTGAGCTGAAAACCTGTCCGTCTCTCCTTTTGTAATCAGTGCAGGGCATGACAGAATGGAACAGATAGCAGATGAACTTTCTCATGTGGTCTCTCAGAGTAAATAAGGGTCAGCCTTGAATGTTGTTTGCCTGAGAGCCTCCATGTCAACAGTCCAATCAGTCCATGTGCTGACTCGTGATAAGGAGGTCGACATCAGGTGTGATGTCAGCACAGCCCGAGATAAACACCATGTGAAACATCCTGTGCTTTTCACCTTTATGAGCATCTTTGCTTGCTAATAAACCAGGTCTCTATTCCTGGAGCCGGTTACATAAAGTTACTATTTCAAGACTCTGTGTTAACAACTCTTTTTACCAACTAGCAGTTATTCAAGGGGTAATCAATCTTACTTTTCGGATTCAAATTAGACCAGTCTACATTAATTTGTTAGTCTTAAAGGGGTCATATGATGCTGCTAAGCACCAAGAGCTTGTATCACTCCAAAGAGAAAGGAAAAATTGAAATTGCATCATATGACCCCTTTAATGAAAAAAAAAAGTAGATGACTTGTAAGGCAAGTTGTAAGACTAGTCTAAGCAGCACCCGGTGTTGAGTATGTGTAGGTTGATTGTCTCTGTGGCATACATACATACATATTAGCTAGCATGATGAAATAAAACAAAAATAAGACATGCATAGTTAGCATGATACATAAAAGCAAATCATACATATTAGCTAACATTGTATATAAAATAAAAATAAAACACATATATTAGCTACCATTATATATAAAATAAAACAAAAATAAAACGCATATATATATATATATATTAGCTACCATCATGAATAAATGAAAAATACAACATGCATATTAGTTACAACCATAAATAAAATATAACAAAAATATAACATGCATATTAGCTACCATCATATATACAGTAGCATGGTACCTACAGCTTCTGCCAAAATACTATAGTTATTGTCACACTAAAAGTGTGGATTAAATGAAATTTTGTTGAGTATGTGTAGGTTGATGGTCATGTGTCACACCTTTAGGCATGTATCTGATTGACTTCTGAATGGAAATTTACATTGCATTACACACCAAAGTGGGGTCCCATCTGCTGACGCTGGACTCCTAATGATTATTAATAGGGCATCTGAAGAGCCCCAGACCTCCCCTGACATTTATAGGATTATTTAAAAACAAAGAAAAGGATGGATATGGATGGACTCAGTGTCCGTCTGCCGGTCATTCACGACCTCTGTGGCTCATTCTTCCTCTTTCTGAATTGAAATATTATATAACATGAAAACCGACAGATAGAGACAGACAGTCACACCACATTAGCCTCTGATCTGACCCACAACAGTGTTGCTGCAAAGTCTGTAACCTTTTCTTCAGAGACGCTGGATTGACTTGAGAGACAGAGATTTATTACAAGGTCATGAGCCAAAGATGTTGTGCACATTAAAGGTTCTCCATCCCATCACTTTGTCTATTTTGGACTGATTGTGGCTTGTCACAGTAAGAAAGTCATTCAGGCAATATCTTATTTTCCTTTCCAGCGCAGTACTGCTGAGGGTTTGACTAATATAGAGTTTGGTGTATGAAGGCCCAAATAAACGATGCTTCTTGGTGGCAATTAAACTGCAGCTCTTCTCTGTGATAATAGGTATTAACAGTTCAACTGCTGCTTTAAGAGGAACTGATACAGGGCCTTTCATGGAACCGGTAATTCATGGAAATAGGTGGGTGAATCCTAACTTTAGTTTTGGTATCACACTTATGCTGCATCCGAAGATGCTTTCTGCTCTACTATATACAGTAGTATACGAAAAGCAGTACACCAAAATATTAGTATATGTAAATACACTTACCGGCCACTTTATTAGGTACACCTTGCTAGTACCGGGTTGGACCCCCTTTTGGATGGACAATACTCATGGGCGTAGCTTGTGGGCCATAGCAATTTAAGGATT